GAAACGTGGGTGCATTGTCTGAATTGTAAACAATTCCTTCATTTTGGTTCTAGAGAAACGTGGGTGCATTGTCTGAACTGTAAACAATTCCTTCATTTTGGTTCTAGAGAAACGTGGGTGCAGTGTCTGAATTGTAAACAGTAGTTCAGTCTTGGTCCTGGAGAAAAGTGGGTGCTATTTATAAATTCTAAACTGTGAGGGCACTGAGGAAAAACTGTTTTATGTGTGCCATCTCTATGGATTAAAGTCCTCCTTAACTATATGGTTGCTGTTTTATTTCGTAATAGTCACATTTATCCGAATTAGAGTCCCCCGGTGAATCAGCGGTAAAATCCGGGGTTCAATTTTCCACGGTGGAAGAGGTACAGATAGCCAATTGTTTAGCTTTACGCTAAAGAAAACAACAACAACAGAATCGGGAATTTGTTTAATAGGATATTTTACTGACAGATTCAGCATTCACCTATATGACTTTTCTAGTTTATTTGTTTTGTCCCAAACAATTTTTTAGATGCAACAGTATACTCCACTAGGTGTCGCAACGTACGCTAAAGGGACTCATTGTGACAACTGAGTTTTCGTTGCAACGTAAGCTATATATTAGAAAAACTAACTATGGGAGGTTAAATGATTTTATAGTTTGTTTTTTATAATCATTTGTAAACTGTTCTACAGTGACACAGAAATCTTAATTGTTTAAAACACCACGATAATGAATTATATCTACTACAGGAGCACAGAAATTTACTTTTTTAAACCATCATGATAACGTTTCACACCCTTTAAATGAAATAAGGCTGTAGAATGAGAGTTATGGTAAAATTCCAAAACACTGTCTAGCTTCTACAACTGACAACGTCAATGCAGTTGTGCTAAAAGTACATGGTATTATCTTTCATCTGCTAGTTGAGTGCATAGATTTGATTGTTAGCCATAATAAATCTACTAGAAGAGAGTAAAAGTTTGAGTGAAGGTCATAAAATGTCTTTATTATGGTATATTTACCGTTTACTATTGGAGCACAAAAGTTGAAGTTGTGCTGTATTATATTTCTTGTCTTGTCTGTGCCTGTCACAAAACTTCTATACAGATGAACCTCAAACGTGTATTGAGAGCGCTATGAATGCATTTTAACAATTTTTATGTTAATGCCTTAGCTCTTGGCCTAATTTTATTCCTGGTATTTTGATAAGCTCATACACCACTTACTATTACAACAAACTTCCATTTCTCTCCTTCCTCATAAAGAATGGATTTGGTATAATGTTCTGTGTCTTCTATTTAGAAAGAAATTTGCTGTTTCTCAAGCGTTGGACTTCTTTTCATTTTAGTTTACGAGGAAACATTTAATGTGATTCTGGCTGAACATATTCATTCCTACTTCCCTGAACACTTTTTCTGATGTGCTAATAAGTTTTAAAAAAGATGAATTCATTTCTCTGACTGCAAATTTGAGCTTTTTGCTCATTTTCTGGTGATTTCAGTACATTATCTAAAATATTTTTTGTGCATAATAGCACTGGTAAAAACTGAGTTTAATTTTGTTCGCTGTAAGAAAAACAAAATGTTTTCATGATGAAAGTTACAATAGAAAAATTTCACTTCATGACGGTTTAAAAAAGCCATGACTTTAAAGATTAATTATAATACGAACGTAATTTAAGCACTAACATTTTCACCATACACAGATTGAATTTCTACATCTGTTGGCAACTACTGACATTTTTAATGATCGTACAAAGTTGCATCAAATATACTTAGCATTAATGTACTTCGAGTGTACATAATCATTTTGTTCTAGTGAATATAATTAGGAGAATCAGCTGGCGAAAAAATATCCACAGTGATTCCAACATCTGTCACCAACCTACTCATAATTCTCCTTACATATCACCAAGCTTGGTGGTATGTTCAGAGAAGCTGCCAGCTGCCTTTCAAAACTGTTAGGACTAACAACTAAAAAAGAAATAGTTTAATAAAATGTAAAATAGCTTGTAAGGGCTGTTCGTTCAAAATATGGTTTGGCATTCAATATGAACTAAGCAACATCTGAATTATCCTCGCGTATTGTATTTCCCCTGAACATCATGTACTGGCATAATATTACATTGTTTTTGCGAAATATCTCATCTATAACCGATTAATGTAATTTCAGTATATTTCCACTTTTCGTAGAATAAAATATATAATTATTGTTTGTTTGAAGTTAAGCACAAAGCTACACAATGGGCTATCTATGTTCTGCCCACCACGGGTATCGAAACCCGGATTTTAGCGTTGTAAGTCTGCAGACGTACCGCTGTGACACTGGGGGGGGGCAATATATGATTAAATATGGAATATATTTAACCAGGTGCATAGGAATTTGGTAACAATAATGCGAACTAAGATTGGAAAATAATCTTAATTGCTATTAAACTAAATTCTGAGATACTGTGTTACAGTAATATAAGAATAAGAAAACCCTAAATGGAGAGAGCATTTATTAGATAGAATGCAGAAAGTAAAGGAATAGAGAAGTTAAGATTCTCGCGAGCTCGGAAGTGTGTTTCACTATGTTCTCGTAACGTGCAGTGCTTGTATCTCTAATTACATCATTAACAGTCTTTTGTTAGTTTTCTTAGTAATTAATTGACGGTGTGTTGTGTAAGTAGGTTATGTGCGTTAGCAGTAAAGTACTTCTACTTATTTAACTCAACTCCTTTGTTAAAACATCCATTACTAGACTTGTAGAGAAAGAAGTTTTCTCTAATTATTACTATCGCAGCCCTGTTAAAAATATCTCATGACTGTAATCTTGATGGTAGAATTAAGTTTTATTTGTCGGTTTTGTTTGAGCCTTATATTGTTATGTAACTTAGCCTCTCAGAGACTCTTGCTATTACCTTTCTAATGTACAGTTTTCAACTGATTTACGCTCATTCTGTATTTTCGTCGAAATGATAGCGTACATCAGATCCTCGAGATTCGTATATAGTACCATTTTTTTTTAACGAATGCCACTTTAATGTCGCTTTGTCCCGTGTGTGTGTGAAAAATTGGATCATTACATTGGATAAAAACATTCAAAACCGGCTGAATAGAATAACTTTGATGGTGATATACCTCGAAAAGCCGAAGAACAGCCAAAGAAGAACGCCATTATAATTCTTAAGTATATGTTGAAACATCCAAAAGGTTCAACCGTTTAATAAGACAGTATAATCGTTGAGCGTAAACCTTCTGTAAGTTAATTGTTTATATCTAATTTCAATCCTCGATTAAGCCATTCTTTTCTGTCGTATTTTGAATTTTGACAATTATTTTGTTAGGTTTACAAAATTTCTCTATTTGGTTGCAACTGAGTAATAGTTTGTAAAGTCAATTTGTGCTCTTTATGAGCTTAAGGAAATGAAACAAATAGCATTTTTTTATTTTGTATATGTAATAGGTATTTTCTGTTTTTTTTAATTTAACTTGGCTTTGTTAATGTCACAAGAACAGGAGGAAATCCAAAGTATGTAGCAGTGTTACGCTACTATTGCATTTCTGTGAATACTAATTAGTTAGAAAACAATATAACCTGTACAAACTTCCAGTAATTACAGTGATGAAACACTAGGTAAAAAATGTTCTTGAACACTCCTTATTTCATTGGCTTCAAACTATTTAACAGCTGAAGAGAAACGACGCTATTTATTACCCTAAATGTATTTTTGAAATAGAAACTAAAATGCATTTCCTTAGTGATCACAAATAATCGTAATTAAACATACTTGGTACTGTGCGATCTTTTCATGGTTTAGGACATCCAGCAATAGATTTTGAGTGTAATATTTTCTTTCTCTCTTCTCGATTTTCTAAGTTAGCAGATAAAAAAGTATTTAGTTCATATCAGAACAAATTGTGCATTTGAAGTGGTGCAGTGCAGAACCCGAGAGTTTTCCGTTTCCCGTATTTAAGGAAGCTTTGGCTAAAGAGAATACATAACGGAGATAAGAAAAGTTGTTGAAAAGTCATACGGCAACAAAAATAATCACCACTTTTTGTCATCGGCGTAGCGATGACTACAGTGATAAATGTTCCTTCTTTTTTTGTTTTCACCGATAACGTTTGTGTGAAACGAAATCTTTAACCTTAGAATTTTGATGGGAAATGAATAAATGAAAGTAGATAAACGTCAACTTGAATTTCTAGGACTATTTTGGTGTAATATTATTAGGGCAGTCTGGAATATTGATATTAATACTTTGAAGGAACTTGTCAAATTTCGTTTTGTGATATTAAATGAAGTGTCATGCTGATTAAGATTCAAAGTATCAAAACTTTAAAACAACTCTAACAGTTCCAATAAATCATATTACAGTTAATGCGATTATAATTTTACAGTTCTTTGCTAAAATGTACGAATCAGTGTATTTACTTTAAGTAAGTATAATATATTTACTAAGTACCTGAGACACGTTTGGCTGACTTTGATAATGCATGGCATAGAAAACAGTTGCTTTATCTTTCTCTACTGTATTTATAAGCTTTCCTTTATATTTGGTAAAAAGTTAACTTCATAGGTAGATTGGAATCAAAAAGTCTATATACAAAATACAACATTTAAGAATTTCTAAATATTTTTTTTATGGAGGAGAAACATGTCTGGTGATGAGAAAATGAATTTTTTTAGACTCAGCTTATATATAAATAGTTTGTTAAACATGTATATCGTTTCTAAAAAAATGATCTTATGATAATCGTTAGAAATCTTAAAATTGAGGCGATGAATCAATGTTGAGAAATAAAATAATTTGTTGATTAAAGCATTTGTTAAAGTTTGTGTTCAACTTCAGCTTCCTCTGAAGTACAAAGTGCTACTTATACTTTTGTAGCATTATTTTTAATGACTTGTACTTTATTAGCAGGTTTAGCAAATGCGTATGTGATATACACAGATTACTTTCTTACTGTGGTTTAAGAGAGATGTTAATGAAACCACTTTACAGAGTAGTAATAGCTTTATTCTCGCCCAGTAAAGCCGCTGGACGTACACATAATACATACCGAGCAGCACTTTTCTGCTGGTCAACATGCCAGCGTCCAGTGTCGAACTGCAGGGTCGCGACCAGCTGCACACGTTTCCTGGTTCAAAGATGGCCAGCTGATGAACGGGAGCAAGGACGTTGCTGACCTGAAGGGACTCTGGACAATAAGTACTCTTGAGTTTACTCCATGTAGTAGTGACAACGGGAAATATTTATCTTGTCATGCGATCAACCCAGCTTTTCCCAACTTCACCCGGAAAGATAGTTGGAATATAGACGTTTATTGTAAGTGTTTTTTTTTCATTAATTAATCTATGTGGCTGCCTAATAGTTATACTCTTAATTATATTTTCAAGAATTGCACATAACCTTTGAGAACTCTTACAATAAAACTATAAGCAGACAGAACTTGAGAAACCCATAAACTTAAGATTTACCCTACAATTATTTTTTCTGTTTTGTTGTGTGCAAAGAATAACCATGGGTTACAATTGGAGGTGCTGTTTCAGGAAAACAAATGTTAATTTAAAAATTACTTGTCACATCCTACTTTCTCCTTAGGGATAATTACTTTTTTCCCACCGCTTATGATGTGTGAAGTTGTCTTTCTATTCACCAATAAAGTATTCTTAAAACCCGGTCGTATATTAGGCAGATAAAATACTTCCGTGGAAGGACAACCGAGTAAGGTTCAAACAGCAATCTATTTAATTCTACGTTTTTCTTCCAATAAGTCACAATGTTCCAAAAGACTCGCGTGTCAAAACTAATACATTTTCTTTTTGCTTACTTACAAAGGGAATTTTAATGAGTTTGAAACATCACACTATTGAGATAAAACTAACTTATTAGTCATTAGTGGAGGAATAGTAAAGGTTTTCTTTGTTTGTTTGAAGTTAAGCACAAAGCTACACAGTAGGCTATCTGTGCTTTGCCCACCACATGTATCGAAACCCGGTTTCTAGCGCCCTAACTCCGCAGACATACTGCTGTGTCACTGGGGGCAATAGTAAGTGATTAGAAATTTCTATGAATGAAAGTAATTATGTGGGAAAGGTAAATAATAGTGACATTTATCTAAATGTAGACACAAAAACCCAAATTAATATTTTTCTGTGTAGCATTGGTTTCTGCTGGTTTAATGAATCAGAATGTATAACTTAACCTATGAAACATATTTAAAACACTTCATCTAAACATTATTGATGTTAGCGAGTTTTGAAACTTTTCTTATGAAAACCTTACTTTACACAATTATGTTAAAGATGGAATTTTCTGTTGTTAAGTTTCCGCTTTATCAGTAATAAGAAACTTGACAATCCGCTTACTTCTTTAGTTTCCGTTTTATCAGTAATAAGAAACCTTGCAATCTCCTTACTTCTTCAGTTTCCATTTTATCAGTAATAAGAAACCTGGCAATCCGCTTACTTCTTTAGTTTCCATTTTATCAGTAATAAGAAACCTGGCAATCCGCTTAACTTCTTTACGCAGTATTAGAATTTCAACATTTTTCGAATTTAGAAAAACTGGGAAAATAATTTTTTCTTGGCATTTGATGTTTCTTTTCTTTTCTATTTTCCAGAGAGTGTGTTTGTAGGTGGAATAAAGCTATATTTTGTATTGCATACAATTTATAAACGAATTTCAAAGTAACTCCATAAAAGAGTCAATTTTATTTACACTAACTAAAAAACAAATTTGAAGTACGATGTTTTGAGGTCAAAGTGTGCATAAAAACGAACTCGTTGATTACATCCCAATGCAATTCTTTTTGATTCTGCAATTTTTTTGCAAATACATGAAGTCATTCTGTTGTATGTTCATTAAGTAAAATGTCTTCATTTTGCAAGACACGAAAATTCCAGAGTTAAGCTCTTCACGGTGCTTCTCTTTCAGGCAAAGCGTGCAACTAATTCAGAGTTTTATCAGGGTGTTCCATTTGCTTATGTAGAAAGAAATTGTAAACTGGCTTTAAATTAAGACCACCCCGTGCATGAAATCCGTCGACATATAGGGAAGGCTTGAATTCTAAAATTTCACGGGTTCTTATAGAACTGTCACTCGCACAATGTTCGATCGTTAGTTCAAACATTTTCGTTCATTAAGAAGAAAACTCCGCTTGCTGAAAAAAAAAACACCAACTAAATATTTTGAACTGATTGCATCTCTCTGAAAAATATATTCGTTGCTGTGAAGCTCTTCTGTTGGAAATTTGGGCATGTTGTGTATTAAAACACATCTAGCTTATTGGAAAGTCTTCTACGAAAATGTTTTTTTTTCTGTAATAAACATTACAAATGGTGCAAAATGAAAGAATTGTTTATTAAATAATGCCGTGTTCGAATTTATTGGAACAGCATGGTGAAAAGTTTCTCTTGTTAAAAAGTGATTCCTTATCTTCTCTGCAACAGGTACAAAAATTGAGATCACCTGCATTCGGTTATGTTAATTACGTACTTTTCGCATTCCCTAAAGCATATAGAGGCAGATGGAATTTACAAATAATGTCATGTTCTTCGTTGTTCAGTTGCACAAATATTTCATACAACTATTGTTCACTATAGTTAAAAATTAAAGTATTATCAGTTCTACAGTATAAGTAATGCTTTCATAAAAAAAATTACAATTCGAATACTTCGATACGTTTTCAAATCTTTCTGTTAGTTTATCTACCAACATAAGTTGCACATTTACCTTTGCTGAATAAGTAACCTTTCAGTTTCTGCTGATTTCTTGGAAATATGTATATTTTCAACTCCAGGATATCGAGATAGGTATAACATTTATGGCTGCTAATGGATATTAAAATAATTATTTTGAACCATATATATTTATTTACGACTCTAGATGTATCCCTTTTAAAATGTTTAAACGCAAAAGTTTAATTTCATTAAGAAATTACTTTAATTCTCGCTGTGTTAATAAATAATTTGCAAATGCATCATTTTAACATCAGAAAATCATGAACAAAGAAATGTTGCTAGCTTATTGATATTTTTTCTACGACTATATTTGTTGTGGTATTATCAGATAAGTCTTCACCGGTGGCCAAACAGTAAGTCTGAAGACTTGTTACGCTAAAGATCTGTTTTCGACACCCGTGATGGGCAGAACACAGATAGCCCATTGTGCAGTTTTGTCACTAACAACAAACAAACAAAATCGTCAATTGAAAAAGAAAAAACACATCCGAATGAATAAACACTGCGAAATAATTCTTGTAGTTAAATTGAGAAAATATTATTTTATGTGGGCGTGATCGAGTGGTTTGCGTATTAAACTACTAATCGTAGAGTCCAAGGTTTGGGAGGTGATTCCGCTGAACACACAAAAAGTTTCCGTTACGACACAAAAGTGGCAGCCAATTAGTTCCCTTATTCGAATCAAAGAGCTGGAGGCCCGGCATGGCCAGGTGGTTAGGGAGCTCGACTCGCAATCTGCGGGTTTTGGGTTCGAATCCCCGTTACACCAAATATGCTCGCTCTTTCAGCTGTGGAGGTATTATAATGTGACGGTCAGCCCCACTATTCGTTGGTAAAAGAGTAGCCCAAGAGTTGGCGTGGGTGATGATGACTAGCTGTCTTCCCTCTAGTCTTACACTGCTAAATTAGGGACTGCTAGCGCAAATAGCCCTCGTGTAGCTTTGCGCGAAATTCAAAACAAATAAACAAACAAAGAGCTGGACAAAGCTTTCGTGACGATAATTGTTTCTGACTGGTTGGTTGCCTTCCCTCCGGTTACAAATTCAAAATTATAGACATGGCTATATCCTAATCTTATAGATCTTTAATCTCGCAGCTTAGTTCACATATTATGAGGTGTTTCTACTGTTGAATATTTCAATTCAAAATTGTTCTATCAATAAAATAAAATACAAGAATAATCATAAAATAGCAATTGTATTGATTGATCGAAATATTTGTAAAATTTTACTAAACAGGTTTATTTCTCTGTTAAATGTTTTAAACGTAAACAAAATATTATATATAAAAGCACATAAACAATGTAGAAAGTTTAATTCAAGAAAGATGAAACTACTTCTTTAAAATCATACCTTATTGTGTGTTTGGTTAGTAATAATGATTTCAATACCTAATATGACTTTATTCTGATTTTACTCCAAGTATAGCTTTAGAATATCTTGCCTTAATGACCTATAATGTTTTCAGAAGAATGTCAGTGTCATACTTTAGGCATCTTTGTGGTTCAGCTGTAAGCTTGAGAATTTATAACGCTAAAATTCTGGGTTCAATCTCTGAGGTAGGCACAGCAGAGCTAACTTATTATGCTGCTTTGAGTTTAAAACAATCAGTCGAATTTTAATTTTATTCCTGTCCTTTGTGTCAGTTATTAAAATAAGTCATATTTATAGGCAACATAAATAGTCAATTATTATTTACAATTGTAACTTACAAGTTTAGTTTATGGATATTATATTTCCAATAGTATTTTGGGAAGTAAGCATTAATGAAGCGTTAAGTTTAAAAGATTCTTTATAGAGAATGCTATTAAATTTTCGGGTACTTACTGGCGTTAGGTAAGTCAGGTGGTCTCAAAAATAATTATTATTCAGTGGGAACGCAAAGTAAAAAATAACTACATAAGCAATTATTTGACAATCTGTGATTAAATTAAGTGTCCTTAGTTAATGAAGTAATCGATTAAACTATTTAGAGATTACTTGTTTGTTTTGGTTATTCACACAAAGCTACACAAGGGCTATCTGGGCTAAGTGTTTTAGGGGAAGGCAGCTAGTCAACAGGAACCACTGCCAATTCTTGTCGGACCGAATGGTGGGGTTTGACAGTCACTTTTATAACTCAACATGACCCAAAAATGCAGTGCTCGATTATTATTGTTATTGTTATTTGCGGTAATGGGTCGTGTCGATGAACCCGCAGAGCCATAGTCCAATACGCTAACCATTGGGCCTGGCTCAGTCCAAGCTGCTGAAAAAAAAAAAGATCAGATAGCCTCTGAATAATCCTAGGGTTACCAGCAGGGTTCATAAATACAGGTACAACGCCAACAGACATAAACAAGTTGACATTACATGTTTCGCAAGGGTTAAACAAGTACGTTCATCATCAAAAAACGTTTCACGTTAATTTAATTTTATAACTTTTGCATGAGTTGCCTAAATAAAATATATAAAAAAAGTTTTTAATGATTTGTATTTATACTTTGTGTTAATTGACTACAATGTTTGAACTACAAGTCTTTTGTTGTTCTTTCGTATTTCATGTTGGGCTGAGGGTCTTAGTTTATGATCTAATGACTTTAGTTTGATTAATACCTAAAGAAATATACCATTATCCGAAATAATTTATGGCTTTTCATCCGGTTCTCAGTCTCACTGATAACTGTACTATGAGATAAATATAGTTCTGATTGTTTGTTTGTTTTAAGATACACAATGGGCTATCTGTGCTCTGCCCACCACGGTTATCGAAACCCGGTTTCTAGCGTTGTAAGTTCGCAGAAGTAGTTCTGCAAGATTATTAATTTTGATAAATAGGTATCGGAAGTTTTCCAGGGGATTTTTGTCCTTAAAAAAAAATTCTTTCCCAGATAGCTCAACAATAAGATTGGGATATATAACTTTAGAATTCAGGGTTATAATTTATTGTATAACCCGTTATACAATATTGGTCTAAAGCAAACAAATCTTGCGACATTTGTTCTTTTTTATTTTCCGTAAACATTTTACTTATGCAAACTGCATTCGCATATTCATTAGCGTAAATCAGAGCTATGTAAAACATCCAGTGCGTCTAGTGAACAGCTCAAACACAAAACAACACATATAACAGACTTTATACATCTACATATCCATACCTATAACATCCAATGCATCCACCGAGTTGCTCAAACCCAAATCAATACATGTAACAAAGTTTGTTCATCTACACAGCCGTACATGTAGAATGTTTAATGAATCCGCTGTAACATATATCCAAAGTAACATATATAGCAGACTTTATAGATCACACAGCAACGAAAATATACAGAAAAAATATTTTTACGACGTTACAAATTGTTTGTATTCCACTTGCCCCAAGACTATCGATTTGGGCTGAGCGCGAATCAATAGTTAGTGTGTGCTCGCACTGTGCATCCGAGTATTCATGGTTCGCGTCCCGTTGCCGCAAAAACGCGATTGGTACTTTGGGGGCATGGGTGTGCTATTAGAATAACAATTAGTTCCTACTATTCTATGTGACAAGAAATGGTGGTAGGTATTATTAACTAGCTGCGTTATCTCTAGTTATATCAGTTCAAAACTATGGACGGTTATGCGCAAATAGCCCTTTGTAGCTTTGCGCAAAAAATCTAAAAAAAAAACAACCAAACAAACTATTGATTATTCTTAGCATGATTGCATCGCAAAACAAATGTTTTTAATAAAATGAGGTTCTTATTTCATTCTTTATTTATGCATTCTTTACTACTTATCACTTTCGCGCTCATATGTATTTGTGATTATCCATTTGTAAAAATGTATATGTTAAAATTTTTCTGTGTATTTTAAAAATAAAGTAACATGTTTTGATCTATGGGAATAAGTTATTGTCGTGACTTAAAACCTCATAAGTAACTATTCTGATGCATTGGGTGTGCATGAGAACATTAACCTTACATTAAGACCATTAATCTCTCTCGAATTACATACATATAGAATCCTCATTCACGATGAACAAGGCAGGCAATAATGAAACTGTTCTATTTCGGATAGAGAGGATGAGCTTTAGGACAAGATAGCACGAATAATGGAGAAACTAACACAAATGTCGTCAAAATCCTAGAAAAACAGGCCTATAATGTTCTGTATCCAAGATAATTTCTTAGGTAATTACGAACGGAACCACAAAGCTAAATTATAGCATTAATCTGGAATTAAATTTCTGTTTTTATACGTTACCAGAAAATGGCAGCGTATCTTGTGTCACCATTTGGCTTGCTTTAGCTTTCGGTCGATCGATTTAGGCTTCATGGAGATTTTGAGCTTGCGGTGCTTCTCACACGGACGATTAGCTCCAGAATGGGATGTTTTGATAAAGTTAGGAACACGTTTTAACTTTCTGCTACATTCCTAAGAGACATTTCCTTGAAAGAAATAATTAAATTACAGTGCCAGTATATTATTTAATGAATTTATGTTCAATGGCTGAATGAATGCCAATTTGTTCGAATCTCAACAACAAAATATTAATTTATTTCCTCAAATTTTATGAATAATTTCTGAATCAATGTAAGTTTTCAATAACAAATTATATCAAGGTACATACAGTTTGTAGTAAATAAGTATGGAGCAGATTAAAATAAATTGTATGAATATTATTTCAGAAAATATTTCTTTGCGTGTATGCCATAGAAATGTAACATTTAGGTTTTTGTTGTGGTTACTCTTTTACTGCTTTAACCGAATCTCCTATGAGTATGACTTCTATGTAGCTGACTAACCGCGTACAAGATAGGGAAAATTCACTGTTAAGCTTGCAAATCTGAAGCTAGGCCTATTGAAAATGATTAGCTTCGCAAAACGTTAAAAATAATTAATTACCCATACTTGAAGAATGCGTAGCTTATGCTTACTGACCACATGTATTAAACTAATGAGTAAATTCCAATGTACCTTATTTTTAAGATGAGGGGTTATACTTGTATTTCGCTGTTGTTGTTTGCAATTAAGCACAAAGCTACACAATGGACTATCTGTGCTCTGCCCACCACGGGTATTGAAACTCGGTTTATATCGTTGTAAGGTAAGTCCGCAGACATACCGCTATGCCACTAGGGGGCCCGTACATATAGATAATTATTAAAATGTATATTTATACTACTAATAATCAAAATATTTTTCAACATATGCTTTGACTATTTTTTATATCAGACTCATGGTAACTTTCGCGGTAATTAAACAGAACACGAAAAAGAATGCATTTGTTAAGATTTTACCTATATGCATATACACCACACACATAGGGCTACATAGCCATTGCGATAGAAGCTCTTGAATGTTGTCTCAAGAACAAGTCTGCCTTTTAAGATGGTTTTTGCCCGTATATCCTAATAGAATTTTTGTAAAATTCCTGGGCGATCCCTATTATGAACCACTATCGTAGTTGTTTATGACTAGCAGAGAACAGCAAAACATTTGGGGTCAAAGTACTATATTTTTTGCAACATTACGTCTTTAAAAAATAATTTCTAGAATAATACAAACGAACTCTAATCGAAAACATCGAAATCTATATGTCCACTAGTCTTAAGTCTAACATTAGTTAAGCCTTTATTAAGTGCGGCCTATATTCGATAAAGAGATATATTAACACTGTAACTTGTGTACGTTGTTTGCTTTAGTCTAATCGCAGACACCGAAATCTATATGTCCACTAGTCTTAAGTCTAATATTAGTTAAGCCTTTATTAAGTGCGGCCTATATTCGATAAAGAGATATATTAACACTGTAACTTGTGTACATTGTTTGCTTTAGTTTAGTTGGGGCTAAAGTACTTAACGTACTCAATACTATCAATAAATAAACTGAAAATATTATTCTACGACCTAATACTAAACTTTTTAAAAACTTTGATAAGTTTTTAATATGTTGTTATACAATATGTCTACTAAAGTATATTTACATCCGCCTTGTGTTTACATCCGTTGAAATGAATGCGCGCGTATTTGGACAAAAATTGAAAAGTATTATAATATTTTTTCCCCCAGAATAACACTGTAGCAAAACAATTTAATTAAAAATCTACAAAGTCATCAAATCTGTTTACATAGTAATACATACATTGAAGCTATCTGCAAAAAAGTAACGATATGAAGTTTTAAGTTTCCAGGTAGCACTATCATTCGTAATTTTTTTTTTACCAAATTTAACCATTAATTTATCTTCTGTACATTTTTTTTTCTCAGTCAAGCCGGAAGCGTTCATTTCTCTGAAACTCAGTCATCCATCTGGGAAACTGCATGAGGGGGATGACGTTTTCCTGGAGTGTCGATCCCATTCTAATCCTGGCATCACTGAGATTCTGTGGTACTTTAACAGAGATCTTCTATTGAACAGGACAGCAGCTGGGATATTAATAAAAAACCAAACTCTAGAGATCAAGAATGTAAAAAGGAGACACTCTGGAAACTATGTTTGTAGTGCGGAAAATGTCGAGGGCCGAGGCAACAGTGATGAGTTTAAGTTGAAAATCAAATGTAAGTTTGATTCTTAGAAAAAAAAAATAGAACATTGTCTTACCTTTCTAGTTCGTTTATAAAGGAACTGAAAATAGATTAAAGTGAGTTAAATATCATAATATAACGTTAGAAAAGCAAAGATTTGATTTCGATTTTTTTACTCTTTTCTTATTTCATCAAATATTTGCCTTTCAAACCAAACAAGTATTCGTTTTATCCTCATCCTAAATAACAGAAGAATGGGATTGTACCTATTTTGTAACATATGCAATCTTTCAAAATTTCGAACATTGTAAATTGAAATGAAAAAGAAAATTGGCTTTTCCATTAAAACCAGTGATCCTTTACGTTTTCATTTTATTTTCTTCATGTTTTTTTTTCATTTTAAGATTCTTAGGTACACTGAATGAAGCATAATAAAACACGTAGGATTTAACTTGAATTAACTCAAGCTTACAAAAGACATCAAGACCGAAACGTACAATCCGTTTTTGAGAAATGAATTTCCCAAACATACATTTAATAATTAAAAGTTACTTGGATAACGATTACCTAGCTGTTTATCCTCCTGGTGGCTAGGGCACTCGACTCTGGGCAATCTGAGGATCACGAATTTGAATCTCATCATCGAAACACTCGCCCTTTTAGCCGCGGGGATATTATAATGTGACGGACTAACAACACTAGAATCCGGATTTCGATACCCATGGTGGGCAGAGTATAGATAGCTCTTTGTGTAGCTTTGTGCTTAACTACAAACAAACAATATATATTTGGGTGGTATAAAACGTTTATAATACGTTTTAAACTTTTAAACGTCATTGCCTTGACCTTTGTAGTGTATATAACCAATTACATCGATTCACAGTTCTTGTGATTATGTATCGCAATCTCGCATTGATCATTTCGTTTACGTTTTTCGAGTACTCTCATGGTTTTCGTTTTCAGTTTATTTACCTATTCAGATACACGCAATGCATTACTTTCGCACTGGAGATAAATGCTCTTTAAAATTTTTAAAACTAAATGCCAATATCTAATTCTATTAATATTTTGTCTTCAAATTCTGAATAATATCATCTCTGGATATAATTTAAATCCTCTGTAGAAAACCTGGCACGCAGTTCAAACGAATTTAAAATTCTGTACGAAAACATTTTAAAGCCCAATAACCTTAACCTCGTCCTTCCCTCCTCACACACCCGTAGCTCAGCGATAACTTTGAAGGCTTATAGGGTTAAAAATCGGGGTTCGCTACCTGCGATGGGCACAGTGCAGATATTACAACCAAAATCATTTTACCAACGAAATAAAAATAGTACTTGTTTTTGTTTTGTTTTTTGAATTTCGTGTGAAGCTACACGAGGGATATCTGCGCTAGCCGTCCCTAATTTAGTAATGTAAGACTAGAGGGAAGGCAGCTAGTCATCACCACCCACCGCCAACTCTTGGGCTACTCTTTTACCAACGAAAAATGGGATTGACCGTCACATTATAACGCATCCACTGCTGAAAGGGCAAGCATGTTTGGTGTGACGGGTATTCGAACCCGCGACCCACAGATTACGAGTCGAGTGCCCTAACCACCTGGCCATGCCTGGCCCAAAATAGTAGTTAGCATTATTTGAAGCTACCAAAGTCAGTATTATGAACACTTTAAAGCAGTGGTTCCCAGCATTTTGTGGCCCTTGCACCCCCTAAGGAAGCCCTCGCACCTTTCCCCTAAAAAGTGTAAATTAGACATTTCCTCTTGGCGACATATGAGGGAAAACGGACCTTGTATAGGCCTCTTCTGCGCACCCCATGGACCCTCATTTCGCACCCCAGGGGTGCCAACACCCATGGTTGGGAACTCCTGCTTTAAAGACATACTTGCGAAGGTAGCCCTTGTGTAGCTTTGCGTGAAAATTCTAAACAAATACACAAACTGTTTAAGCCTCTTGTATTACCAAATTATTTTAAAATTTCCACCTTATTTTTTTAACAAAAACGAAATAGTTCTACACTGAAGTTTGAGGTTAGCACTCTTCAAACAGCGAAGAAAAATTAATGTACTGCTGTAAGAAAACATATAGAGCAATGGGTATGGTGGAATGTTTTTGAACTAAAACTGTATTTTATCATTTTACAAGACTTTAATCAGGAAACACATCATCCGAAGTGAATTTTTTTTTCCTATGGTTTTATGTACTTGATAAAAGTCTTCCATGTTAAATCTGTCTTTAGATAACGGTTTGTTTGTTTTAGCACAAAGCCACACAATAGGCGAACATCCCCTCTGTCTACTGTAGGGAGTCGAACCCTGGATTTTAAATTACCGTAAAATTACCACTGACCTATCTGGGGTTTTTAATTAGTAAATATATCGTTTCAGTTCTAGTTTATTCTGGAAGTTGAAAATCCAGAAGCAGATGACGAAAAGTTACTTTTAGATTATTTTATACTCAATCTACTTAAAGTAAATACTATATAAATAAATTCTTTGAAGAAAAGCCTTTACAAAACGAACTTGTAAAAGCGCATAAAAACTGATTTATCTTTAAGGAAATTCGATTTTTTATTCTCTGTTATTTCAACAAACATTAGTGAAAAAGAGTCTAAAAAAGGCAAGTTGTATCAGTTTAACTATTTTATCTAAATATGTTTAAACACAAGAACTAAAAAATGTTGACACTATTCCTCATTTAAAAATTATATTTAATATTTGTAAATATCAATATTCATTTTCTAGATTTTATTGAATTGTATATCCGATAAGAAAAACAAATTTCCTATTCAGCTTTAGTGGATTTCTTTTATAAAAATATGAGATGTTCTTAAAAATTTAGATAAAAAATAATTAAATTTGTTAATTTCAACTATTGGCCATAAAGAAGTTGTGTGAAGTTGATATATTTCTTAGGAAATAATCGTTTAATATCATCTTCGTTTCTTGTTAATGTGTTGTCAGACGCATATACTTCTCCAGCAGTTATCTCTTTGTAATATAGTATTTGATACCTAGTCACTTGAATTTCTTCTGTAGTTCTTAACTCTTTGTGATACAATGTCCGATCTTCAGTCACATGATTTTTTCTTCAATTGTCAACTTTTTATGTTCTTTATGAAACAGTTTCTGATATCCAGACACATGAATTTCTTCTCTGTTGTCAACTCTTTGTGATACAGTGTCTGATATCCAGCCAAATTCATTTCTTCTCTGTTGTCAACTCTTTGTGATACAGTGTCTGATATCCAGCCAAATTCATTTCTTCTCTGTTGTCAACTCTTTGTGATACAGTGTCTGATATCCAGCCAAATTCATTTCTTCTCTGGATGTTAACTTTTTATGAAACAGTGTATGATATCTAGCCACATAAATTTCTTCTGTCGTTGCCAACTTTTTGTGATACAATGTCTGATATCCAGCCACATGATGTCAACTCTTTGTACTCTTTATGAAATAGTGTCTGATATCCAGCCAAATGAATTTCTTCTGTTGTTGTTTTCAACTTTTTTGCGATACAGTGTTTGATATTCAGCCACATGAATTTCTTTTGTTATTGTCAAATCTTTGTGATACGGTGTTTCATATCCAGCCACATGAATTTCTCCTGTGTTTGTCAACTTTTTGTGATACAGTATCTGATACCCCTAAAAGCTTGCGCAATAAAAAAAATCACCCGAGTAGCCATTATATATCTAGAATTATGACTCTAAATGTGTGTTTTTTCACACTCTGTCCTCTTGAATAGATGCTCCAATCTGTAGAGATGGTCAAAAGACATCTTATGCTGTGTCTTTAAATGAAGCCGTTGAGGTCATATGCAAAGTGGATGCAGAACCTAAAACCGTCAACTTTACATGGAACTTCAACAGCTCAGAAAAGAGCCGAGGGTTTTTTATGTGAAGAGTGATGGCGTGATAAGTGTCGCAAGCTACATACCCCGTCAGAAAGAAGACTTCGGTGTTTTGACGTGCACGGGGCAAAATGCTGTTGGTATACAAGATAAGCCATGCCAGTACAATCTTATCCAAGTAGGTAGGTAAAACCTCTGACTATAAAAATAATTCTAATATCATCTTAGGCAGGCTGACTATTATCTCAGAAATGGTGATTACCCCTGGACGAACAATTACAAAATCAGGCAACTAAATATGAAATATTTCGATATGAAGTAATCTAATTTTATAGTTTTGAATAATGAAATATGAACTTGAATAATTAACAGACTAAATCAATGTAAAATATGCTTAATGGATAGGAAATTTTCAGTTTGATTCAATTTAATCATATCTCACGGATTATAAACGTATCAGGTTTAATCGATACATTATAATACCTCTCTTTATAAAATAATTAAACCTGCCGATATAGATGACACAATAATGGTACGATGCAAAGTTACGTACTTTGCTGCAGCTGAAAAAAAAATCTTATTAACACTAACCTTTACAGTCAATTAGTCACCGATTCGACTGCATCGTTCAACCTCAAAATGAAAACTATCGTTAATGACTTGATTCACATAGGTAACTTTCCATCAGACACTACCAAAATAATTGTTAGTAATCTTAGAACTTCGGAATTTAATCTTTTCCCAAAAATCCATAAATAACGGAATCCTCATCACTTAATCACTTTTTTCTGCCTGTAACTGCTCCACTGAATTAATTTCGACTTTCCTTGACGATGTCCTTAAACCTATTGTCTCCTCTTTCCCAACTTACATGAAAAAAAACCTACACAAAACCTATTTTCAATAATCTTAAGGTTTCTGGTAGTGAAGCTACATTTTTTACCATGTACATTAAAATACTTTACATTTGACGAAGGTATGACAGCTCTCAAACGTTGCCTGGTTCGAGGGTCTTCACTAGACCCTCCAACTCATATTAATGGCGAGTTTTACCAACAAGTAAAGGAGGATGCTGTGGATACCAAAATGGGTCCTTCTTATACATCATCATTTGTTCGCTATATAGAAAATCGGATTTTCTCCACCCATTCATGAACTCTTCAAACTCCATACGCTATA